TTCCAGCCACAACTCTCGCTGAGCATGGAACCAACAACACCTAGCTCTCCCCTTCCCCACACCACCCTAAACCTACAGGAAGTAGCCAGACTTGAGTCAATGCCCCTTTTTCCTAGAGAGCCTAAATTGTGGGTCACAATTATCACTTCAATTTTCTGTCATCCCTATATCCAAAGAGTCTGGAATGTTAAGTTGGGAGTGTAGATCCCAGCCCCTCACATCCATCTAGCCCTCAGGCCCGAGAGTTGTATTGGTCTAGACTCCAAATACCAGAATGCCAGGTACTGACCTGTCCCTGGGGTGGGGGGTCAAGACTACTCCCACAGGGTATTTAAGTGAGGTCCCAAAATAGAACACATAGTCTCTTTCCTCTCCTCCTAGTGGCCGCATTAGTGGCCTCCTGGTTCCCCCTCAGGGCCACCCAAGAGCACAGGAATCCCATTAAACCTGGGTATTTTTTAAATTGGCTTGTTGTGTTTTGGCTTGATTGGGATTTTTGCTTCATCAGAGAGCTCACATTAGCAAGAATTCCTAACAGTGAGCACCATGCAGAATGTCCAGAAGCTTGAGAATCAGCGAATCCTAGGTAAACAACAATAAATTCCGAGAGTCATGACTTAAACAATTTCAGCACAGATGTCTCCTGTTTACCTGCTATTTTGTCTCCTTATCAGATGTGTTTTTAGTGTGTGTCTGTGGTTTATGTGTGCAGTGAATGCACACTTTGACCAATTATGAATCTCTTCATTAACCATTGTTATCTGTGAACAAAAGCCTCCTTTGTGATCCAGGCTGAGAACAACTCTAGTCTATGTGTATAAAGACAAATATTAATAATTATTTGGCTACATGACCATATAGTAAAACATCAATAGTGAATATTTCTCCAGCATACAGCTTCCCAACAGGTCACTCTTAGGCTACTCTAGAAGGTGACATGTCTCCTTTGTGATTCACCTCTTTTCTGAGTACATGATCCTAGAATGTCTTTCTGCTGTCATTAGCTCCAAGTCTCTCTCTGCCTTCTTCGAATACCCAAAGACCTATTCTTCCCATGTGGGGGGGGGGCACACATGGCACATGAAACTACTTCAGCTCATCTACTGAAAATGGCATAGGGATATCTGCTTACCTACAGACAACACAATGATCACAGATGATCAGTCCCATCAGAAGCTTCCCTGAATAGCTCAAGATCATGGTCTACCACTGCATGACTGTGACTTTCACCTGACTCCTCACATGCCATCCAATATGAAAATTAGTGTATTTGTTTCTCATGGAAGCTATACCACATCTAAATTTGAGGGACACTCTAAGCAAAGTTATCTTTGGAGAATTAATTTTAGAGTTTGAACTCAATGTATGGCTTTTCTGTTTCTTGTCCTGGATGCCATGCTGGTGCTCACATTCCATTCTCCTTGATGATTCTGTGAACAATGACAATCTCTCAAAAGGCAACCCACAGGGCATTTTCTAAGGGTAGAGATTATTCTCTGAAAGTACCCAGTTACTTCTGTGTGAGTACAATGTGAAGATAATCCTACAGTTTCCTCTTTCTTTAGATTATTCTGGGTTTGTCTTAAGAACTAGATGATGGGGCTGGAAAGACGGCTTAGTGGTTAAGAGCATTGACTACTCTTCCAGAGGACCAGGGTTCAGTTCCTAGCACTCACATGATGGCTCACTACTGTCTATAACTGCAGTTCCAGGTCCACCCTTACACAGACATACATTCAGGAAAAATACCAGTGCACATTAACGCAAACAAAATTCATAAACATAAAGACAGAACTGGATGAGGTGTTAGTATTGTAGGCCCGTAACACTTTGCTTGCGATTCTCTATACTTCTCATGACCCAGTCCTTATCACATGGTTTTCTAAGTTTGGAGGAGAGTCCTCCATAATGGCTCTCTTCTGCTTGGTTCATACAAAAACAATGAATGTGCCCCAACTCTCAACCCTCACTGTTCACATATGTAACATGAGGGCCAGCTTGTTGGGGTATCTGTCCCACCCGGTACCCCACAGCCAGGAACTCCCAAGGAAAATCAATCACACAAAGATCTCTATAAGTTATAAAGCTGATTGACCCATTAGGTCAGGCTACTTATTAGCTCTTATAACTTATGTTACACCATTATCCTTATCTACGTTGGCACATGGATTAGTACCTTTTCCAGCGGGGCAGATTACATCTTTCCTCTCCGGTGGTCTGGGCAGAACTGCAGAGAAAGCTTCCTGCTTCCCAGAATTCTCCCAGTCTCTTTGCTCCACCCCTCTTCCTGTCTGGCTTTCCCGCCTATACTGCCTGCCTGGCCAATCAGCGTTTTATTAAAATATGATTGACAGAATACAGACAATTCTCCCACACCACACATAGACTATTCAAGAAGATGTGCTTGAGACAGTTGCTTCAGTCGGTCTGTTGCCAAAAAGCAAGAGATAAACGCAGATGCCTGGCTCACTTTTCCTTATTCTTTCTTTTCTGTCCACTTAAGACACCATCCCATGGGAGAATGTCACTCACATACAGGGTAAATTTCCCTTCCTTACTCAAAATTCACTGAAAATTGAGAGATATACCTAGAAGTGTCTTAATGACTCCAAACCCAGTCAAGCTGAACATAAAGATTAACCACTGCAACTGGTAACATTAAATTGACCCACTTGCTAATCGCAAAGCTAGAATGAAATTTCAATATAACTAATTAACAGGGAGCAGAGAAATTCAGGTCAAAGACAATGATCCAAAACTTAATTCTTAAGATTTATAATTAGAGCACTAGCTTCTCTCAATCTGTATAACCCCGTATCAGTTTCATGACAAGTATTTTATACATAGCCACTCATTGCACTTTCAGAAACATTTCCCATTTCTATTTTACAAATAAAATATGGAGGTCACTGATAAAATCTGAGACAATTGGAAAGCAATTAACATATTCAAGTTACTAAACATTGAGGGAGTACAGTAGTTCTCTTTGTAACATGAACAACTACGGTTTATATTTATTTTTAAATAATACAAATAAACATGTACAGCGTGTGTATTGTGTCACAGAGAGAGAGGGGCAGGGGAGGGAGAGAGAGGATGTGCCACATAACCAAAAGTGCCCCCAGCGGTCAGAAGAGGACATTGGGTACTCTGGAGTTGGAGTTCCAACTGATTGTGAGATACCTGCTGTAGATGCTGGGAACAAAACCCTGACCCTCTGTGAGAGCAGCAAGTCATCTTAACTGCAGAGCCAACTCTACTGTCTCAGATTTAAAGCTCCTTTGTCATGTTCCAAGCAAGAAGCTCCATTTCATCCAAGTCAGTTTTAACCCTAACACATCTCCTCTGTCTTCCACACTTCACCGCAGGAGACACCAACAGCAGCTGGCCTAGAAGAACACTTTCCAGAGAACAGTACTCCCTGTCCTAAAGAAACAGACACAATTATAAGAGGCACAGTTAGTACGTTAGGAGAGGCTGTGTTCTCCACAAGGCACTTAACCCTGTACATCTGCCATTCTCTTCTTTGCCCTTCAAAACTCTGTGGGTTGCACATCAAAGGCTTTGCTTTGAAATTGAACTATATTTCCCTTTGACTTCATCCACCCAATTATTTTTAAAAAATAGCAATTAATACCATTTGCCAGGTGATCAGTCAAGTATCAGATTGATAAAGACAGAACAAATGCTTTCTTTCATTTTCTCATCTTTGATCTTCTCACTGCGTTGGCAGAATACTTTGATTAACTGTCCTATGGTCTGACATTTAATTCCAGATCCTGCATACAATAATCATGGGAATCTGAGAATGTCATATATAATCCATAGGTATCTTTCTCCTTCTCTCTCATGTGTGCATTTAGAAAGAGATACACTTGAAAAGACTAGCAAAAGATATCTTGATTCAATGCCCATTTTTAATTTATCAAGACAACATGGTTAATTTAAACTAAGAAATATTATTTAGTTTTTCTTGTGGGGTTTTGTTGTTCTAAGCACAAAAGTACAGGTCCATATTAACTTTTAGAAATACAGACTTTTTTGACAAAATAATAGTAAATATTATGATGAATTATATAAATGTTAATGATAATCTTGTAATGTAAATTGTAATACATGTAAAATTGATTTGAAAGTACCATGTAGAACATGAAATCTTAGTCTATGAAACTAAATGATCAATAAGTCTCCACTCAGTATTAACAGGCTACAAGTCTATACTAAAATGCTTAGTAGGTGACATAGTGAAGAAAGAAGAGCCTCATCAAATACTGGACAAATCATTAACAAATGTGTAAATTTGGAAAAACATATACAGAGAATCAGAAGATAAACTTGAATTTGTTGTATTATTTCTATTGAATTATAATTAATATTTAGGTAGCTAGTGTGTTAGTCAACTTTATCTGAGACACTCATATTTTAAAGGGAAAATATTAATTTCTTACTTGTGGGGTCTCAGGTTGATCTGGTTGACTTTAAATTTGCAAGGTAGTAGATGGTAGCCTTGAACTCATTATTTCTCTGTTTTCTTTCCCTACATGCTGGGTGTGCACCACCACATTTAGGTTATGTGGCACTGGGAACCAAACTGAAGAGTTAATGCATCCTTGGCAAGTGCTGCACCATTTTGGCTGCATCCCCAACAAGACCTATAGGTTTAGAGACTTTAAGCCCCCAGTCATGGTTGCTGTTGTTCTTGGGTTTGGGCAATATAGCACACTATGGGAGGAGCACATCATGACTGTGATACTGTGACCAGAGTCTGCTACAGGTGTGTAAAGACTCTGACCTTCTTAGTTAATGAATCATATTAAAGGTACATATAGACTATAAAATATCAAAAACATTTGATTTAAAAACAAAGTCATAGAGCAGATCAGAAAGAAATATGATTATAAGAGTGACAGGCCTTGCTGACTGGCGGTTCTGCCTAATTTTAACTCCAGTACTTAGGAAACAGAGGCCATTCAGGTCTATAGAGAAAGTTCATAGCTTACCTGGTCTACAGGAAAAGTTCTGGGACAGTCAGAGTAACCCGTTCTAAGAAAAAAAGAAAAGAAAAGCATGACAGACCACACAATTACCATACAATTAAGAGTACTCAATGACCCCAATTACTGATCCAGGCTTCTTTCTTCAGGTTTCAAGAAGGGGAAGATTTGGATTGTTAAGGGGCACAATTTCAATAGCTTTCTCTTTTTATTAACAGATTTGAATTATGTAAAATTTTATTGACTATGTGTCCTTTCTCATGAGGCATCTGTCCTAATTATATACATACCCAAATATGCAGATTTTCTCAATGGCAAATGCAACCAAAACTAGTTCCAGACAGATTACACTCCAAACCCTTTATCCAGAAATAAGTGGAATACAATTCAGGGGAAACTGCTCATATATGATAGTTGTTGTGGGGAAAGAGAAACTTAGTCAGCTGTTCAGAGCACATTGTGTCATAGCTGGATGCAAATAAGAATCGAAGGTTGTTAGGTGTAGTGTTAGGAAAGAGGCATGGGACATAATCCCTGCAATTGATGAAGATCTAAGATTTTCAAATACCTTACTTAAAGAAAAGTGTTTGCCCAACCTAAGGCAAGTGGACTCCCAAGTTGCCGCACTAGTCCCTATGCTTTCCCGACTCAGTGGAAAGAGAACACTACTTACTCTGCATCTTGGAAATGTAATTGAAAGAATGAAATCAAGAATATATTGTCACTGTCAAGGACAAGTTACCATTCACTCAAAGTCTTCCCACTAGGCCACACACCTGTAAGTTTCACTCTTTAATAAGAGTTTTAGACTGGGCAGGAAGACTTTAACACACTGACCTTTTGGAATCACTTAAGATCAAGACTATAACATAAACATAATGAAGCATTCACAATGTATTGTGTGCCTGTTGGGTTGCAATTGAGTGTCCTCCTCAATCACTCTCTACCTTAGATTCATAATTCAAGATCCAAGCACTTGGGAGGCTGAGGCAAAAGGATGGAAGTCTCAAAGCTAACCAAGGCTATATAGAATACAGTGAGACTCTATCTCAAGTGAAAAAGAAAATAAAAAGGAAAAAAGTGACATGGGTGGGGCAACAATAAAGGATGAAATGAAATTCATGTCAAAAATTGGTTTTAAGGTTAAAAAAAGAGACATTGGCCCCAAGTGTTTATTTAGTCAGTATTGACTTAAATACCTTTTCCCTATTCTATAAAAAAAATGTAGACCTTATTTCACTTCAAAATTATTGATTTGTATCTCATAAGGAACTCAAATTATAGCATAGCTGTCAGAATCACAGATAAAGACTAGTGATTATTTTGTAAATTATTTCAAGACATAAGTGTTCACTTTTCCAACCTGATCAAAGAGACCAGCAAGTCACTAGAGGAAGGCAAAGCTGTTGAAGACTGTCCTCTATGTTTCTTAGACTGAATATACAGAGCTCCACAGATCAGGTGAGTCAAGCAATATAAATGGACTCTTAGTATTAGAGAGTAAACCTAGTCATGAGAGTTGATGGATTCAGTTGCTCCTGAAACTCTCCCTTGGCTTCTAGAAGATACTCTTCTCACTCTCACTATGTACTTATAGACAGTAGGGCCTGCACATACATGGTGGGTGGATCTTGGAGTTTTTTGACTAACTCTTCTTGTCAAGACTACCCTCTGGAGCTACAGAAATGGCTCAGCAGTTACTGGCTAATCATAGGGCTACACAGGTCCTCACCAGGTCTTTGCATTTATATTGAAGATATCAGCTTAGTATTTTTGTGAGACTCCTGACTGTGTTAACAAGTGAGTCTCTGATTCTTTTAATTTATTTATTTTTATTTTATATGCATTGGTGTTTTGTCATGGGAGTCTGGACCCTAGGAACAGGGATTACAGACAGTTGTGAACTGCCATGTGGGTTCTGAGACTCGATCGCGTCCTCTGGAAGAGCAGTCAGTACTCCCAACCACTGATCCATCTCTCCAGCCTTAGATCTCTGATTATTATGCCTTCTCTTATCACTCTTTTGGTTTGATTTACCCAACTGATGCTTTCTCTGTTTTATCTTATTTTTTTATTTTGTTGTGTTTTGTTGTTATCGTTTAGAAGCCTGTTCTAACGAGAGAGAGAATGCGAGTAGTTCCAGATGGAACAAAAGGTGGGTAGAAACTGGGAGAAATATAGATAGGGGAAACAATACTCAGGATATATTGATGCTGCCAGGAGAGCCAGGCCCACTTGTTTGTCCTGGCTGCCCAGCTAGCTTAGTCCCAAAATAACCACATGGAAATTATATTTATTAAATCACTACTTGGCCCATTAGCTCTAACTTCTTATTGGCTAACTCTTACATATTACTTGAACTTATCTTCATTAATCTGTGTATCACCATGTCGTCGTGGCTTACCAGCAAAGTCTCAGCATGCTTATCTCCAGTGGCGGGTCCATGGCGTCTCTCTGACTCCGCCATTTTCTTCCCAGCATTCTGTTTAATTTTCCACAACTATCTAAGCTTTGCCCTATGAACAGCCCAAAGCAGTTTCCTTATTAACCAATGAAAACAACACAAAGGCAGAAGGACCTTCTACACTGTTTCCCTTTTCTGTTTTAACAAAAAGGAAAGCTTTAACTTTAACATAGTAAAACTACATATAACAAAACAGTTATCAAGCAAGAATTACATATTGTATAAAAATAATCTATTTTCAATAAAAGGAATTTTTACAATTTGTTAAATAAATTATTTGGGGGGGATTAGGACAGAGTTTTCAATTAAAAAAAAAGAGAGAGCTTGGTGCCTTTGTAGAGAACCTGAGTTTACATTTAAGTACCACCACCAAGCATCTTGTAAGAACCTAGAACCTCAGCTCTAGGGGATTTTCTTCTGGCCTGCTTATGCACTGCACATATGTGCACATATCCCCCTACCCCAAAACACAGCTCCACAAGGAGACATACTTTTTAAATAAATTAAATATAAATGTGCATGTCCCCAATGACATGATATGGAACTTCTTAAATGATAAAACCACCCTACAAGTCTCAGTTTAATTTAATAACCTCTTCAAAGGAGCCTTTTCAAAATATCAGTCATGTTTTGGGCAGAAGAATTAGTGGGTCAATAAATGAACTTTAGAGGAAAGCACTGTAAGGCATAATCATGAAATTCTAAATTGCATGTGTAACTCTGTCTTCTGTCTCTTTTTCCTATAACAATAAAGATAAACTGACTAAATTTGATGCATACTATTGTTTTTGTTTATACATAATTTTTGAAAAGAAAGACTGCAGATTATCAATCATATATCAGTTATATGAAACCAGACCTACTATATATAAGTAGCAATAGTATTTAAGCAACAATAGCAATAAACCTCCTTCAGAGGTTTAAATCTAGCTGTGGCTTTTATAATACTAAATTGGGCTTGTTCTAAATGTGGGGCTCTTTCTATCTCACGTGACATTAAGCACATTTTTACATGAATGGAAATGCACTGTGAAAAACAAGCCTTTGGGTCATTACACATCTAATTCACACTTTTCCATATAGTCGACCTCTTTCTATGGCTCATTCATATGTTATGCTGCCTTTCTCTCTTCTCCTTGGATGACTGTACTTGCTGTCTAGCTGTTCTTACTGTTGTCAGGGGTTAGTGATCAGTGATAATCCTAAATCTGTCACCACTGACAAAGGCAGCAGACTTCCAGCCTTCCATGGCCATCAGCATTTAAGATGGGTGTGGCATTCATGAAGCTACCCCTCTGAGATAGACCTTTTCTCCAGTGCTGCCGCCTTGGATTCACAATCTCTTCTCTTCACGCTGCTATGTCTAATTCCTGTGGCAGCCATTTAGATTAACACTGGTTCTTTTTTCCTGATAAGTAACTGATACAGAACTATAAACTTTGTGGGGTATTTTTTTTTGGTATGTATGTATGTAGTGTACACTCACGTAGACACACACACATGCATATAAATAAAACTGAATCTTAAAAAATAAAGGAAATAAGTACATGCCACCATGTCAGATTAAAAAAACAAAAACAAAAACAAAACTTGCGACCTGGAGATCAAAGTTCTCTAACAATTGAACAATCTTCCCAAGTCATTTTTAGTTGCATCTGACATTCATACCTATTAAAATAACATTGTTTGGCTATTTTATTTATAATTCCATGGATGAAATATTGACTCAGAAAGAGGCAAAGTCCCTTATATTTGTGCAAAGTACTCAAGAGTTAACTGGAGCTATCATCAAATGTTTGCAGAATTCAAATTATTTTACATTAACTTCATCTGAGTAGAGATACCAAAAGAAGCTTTGATAGTCTAATAAAATTTCAATCTTATTTTCCTCATTTACTACTTGGCTAATAATGATCTAGTTAAAATCTCTTAACCAATCACTTTTCTCACATGTAAAATGGAGATGATATCATTTACTACTTGGATTTCCAAAATAACAATACAGTTAACCAAATCCTTGGCCTAGAATATCAAATGTTACAAAAGCACAATTATGAATCAACCCTCTATTCTGAGTGTGCCATAACCTTAGATTTTTATTAATAACACTCATATGGCAATTTTTAGCAATACTTCCCAAGAATAAGGGTCCTCCCCTTATACACAGTATATGTGTGCTGACTTGCAAATGTTTATGATAAAAGATATGATTTTGAAAGGGGAAAGTGATGTTCTTATGGAATAATGATCAAGAAATACGTATAGATTGATATTCAGTCATCCAACTAAAGAAGTTAAAGGTATTAGGAAACCAAAAAGGAAAGCAATCCAGTTGGTTTTATTTATTTATTTATTTTTGAGTGAGTAAGTGAGTGAGTGAGTGATTATCTGTTTGTAGATCTCATCCCATATTGACCTTGAATTTGCTTAGTAGGTGGGATTTCAAGTATATACCACCATTTCAGTGGTGCATGGTAGAACATGCCTATAATCATAGCTCTCTCTATGTAGATGAAGAAGTCAGAGTCAAAAGAAAATAAATCTAAGCTACATACCGGGGTTCTTCTGAATAGCTCACAGCTGGG